GCATTTTAAGCAACCACACCGCCAGCCCAAAGAACACAGAAGCTCCACCCACATGACCCAGCGGACCGTGCCCTAATGTTTTGGATGAGATAAGATGTTATAGAAACATTCCTCCTCAGGACTGAGATGGGCTAATATATGTGTCAGTAAATCACTATATAGTATTAATTGGTAATTAATTGGTAATATGCATGACATGATTTACAAAATTAAAAGGTCCAGAATCCCGTGCTGTCTAATAAGCTGTCTTTATAACACACTGGCATCCTGCAAAGTGGATTATTGAACATGTGCATCATCTTGTGCCTCTTGTAGCTTCACATGCTGTTGTGTTGCTTTATTTGTTCATTTATTTTTTTATTCAGGTATGAGACTTTTGCAAAAGAAAGTACTTTGCATTTCCTGTGTTAAAGGCAAAAAAATTTATTTGTACCAAAGATAATAGAAGTTCTATCCTGTCTCCCTGATGTTGTGGTAACCATTAATTCATCAGATTCAGCCAAGTGTTTAAATAACATCTTGCAGTCACTGCTGGAAGAATCTTTTATGGAAAGAAATGGAAATTTATTAACGAATGACTGTTTTAAAGTAACTCTTACTGTCAGTAATGCAGATATATTGGTTTACACCTTTCTTATATGTGCTTTTCTTTCTTTTATCTGTTACCGTATCCCTTGGAGATACATGTATGCCTACAGTATGGTGAACTGTCTTTGTCTCAAATTCCCTGCTCATTATCGGAGTAGGTTCAAGGAGATGGGCACTCATTTGCATAAGGAGCCCCAAGGCTGGAGCCTCTGTGTGTAGCAGCCAGGTGATTCATACCAGCTCCTACAGTCTTATTTTGCAAGGATTAGATTAAAACCCATCAGTCAACCTAGATCACCCTGACCCATAGGAAATGGAGCCAGGTTACCGCAGTTAGGCCATCCAACTTGTTTCTTTCATTATTTCCCCCTCAGAGCTCAGAATAGCTTGTTTTGTAACATAACCATGACAACACAGCAAGTCTATACATTCACTTAAATTTATAGACGAGACCTTTATGAACATTTGCGTGGTGAGATGAAGAGCAGCGCGAGCATAAAAATTCAAACAGTGGAGTTATACTGTGTAATATAAAGAGAGCGAGTGCGCAAAGGTTTCCACGTGGGAACGAATATGTGCGCTAAGGAGAAATCAGCAGTGCGGTTTAACATAACAACACATTTATCCAGCAGCAGATTTAAAGAAATAAACCTCAAAGAGCAAAAAGAAGTTTTGAAAAGTGCACCAGGTTTAAGGGTCTTTTTGTTTTTTGGGGAGAAACTGCTTTTTTTTAAAAATCGAAGTGGTCACTTCAGTTCTGAGAGGTTTAAGTAACGAGCTGAACCAAAAGCACTTCTTATAAATGTCATTCTCGCTTATTTGCTAGTCGAAGAAAAAAAAGTGTATAGAATAAGAATATTTAAATCTATATAATGGTGCAAAGTCACATTTTTAGAGTTATACTTCCCTGGAGCTTTCCCTGCATGTTTCCTTCTATTCGAAGTCTCCTGTTTTTAATAGAAAAATATCAAGTATCTTCAGAGCTATTTCACAACTTCTACTTTACAGTTACTTTCTACTTTGTGTGGCAATAATTTAAAAAGATATATATAAACTTGGTGATAAAAGCTATGTTTACAAGGTTCAGTAGCTCAAATTAGCACCGGCTTGCTCGGTTTCAGCAGGAGATACCGAGACATCAGTTGTAACATAACAATCATGAGGCAATTTTTTCTGTTTTGTGTGCTTTTAATACTTCAAGGGCATTTTGTTCTAATGCTTTTATAGTTTTACTTGTAGTTAGCATTGCATATTTTTTTACTTTTTCATTCTATTGATTTTTTGTAATTTTAGCTAAAAATAAGTTATCACTTAAATATGTTGTTATTAAGTTTAAAGACATGTACATAAAAAATGAATTACATTAATGAAATTGTTTGTGAATGCCATTAATGATGATAATGGAATGTTGTCTTATACAGACGCTCATAGCAAAGCGCACTCCTGTGTGTCAATGGCACGTTTTGCTCTCTAATGCAAGCGAAATCCTAACTGATCATTAAAAACTCCTTTTCCTGTCATCACAGCTGAAATCTGAAACACTTCTTTATTCAGTTAATGTTGAATTCTTTGCAGGTTTTATTCAAGTCTTAAAAGGGGCCCCCCATAAAGCTGTAAACATTCCTATTCTTGCTCTTGTTCTAAGAAATGAAAGCTGTGGGAAACTGACAAACACTGAAGATCGCATGCAGTGCTGGCAAGTTCTCCCTCCACAGAACAGTGCGGTCTTGCTCTAACAAGAATAGAAAGAGATGTGTGAGGCCCTGGAGCGCAACTGAGCAAGAAGACAAGTAGTTTGATGTATTTGTCGCCTCACAGGTCTTCAACTGGCAGCTTCATTAAATGGCACCCACCAAACACCATTATCAACACACAGTCAAGAGGCGACTCTTGGAAGCTGGCCTTCTAGGCATAGTTGCAACAAAAAAAAGCCAAATATGAGGCTGGCCAGTAAAAAGGAGATGATTAAGAGTGGTTAAAAAAAAACCCTCAAAGACACTGGACAGAGACAGTTTTGGGGGAAAGAAGTGTCGTGTATAGACACATGTGTGTTTGAGCTCTTAGATGTGGAGCAAATGGAAAGATGCTGAAGGAGTGCTTGAAGCCATCTTTCAAGCATGGTGGAGAAATGTTATGGTTAAAGGTTGCTTTGGTGTTGGTAAAGGGCATATTTGTAGCGATTTAATGCCCCAAAGCACAGCTCAAAACTATGAAATCTTTTGAGTGTTTTGGAGCCATTTGCTGATATCAGTTGTCCACATAATGCTTATGTCCTAAAATGTCAGGAATGTGGCTCCCAAAAATATACAAAAACAACAATATAGTTAGACCCAAAAAGGTCGGGTTTTCCTGGACTCCTTGCAAAACTTTTGCACCACCTTTTAATCATTTTCACCAATAGAGAAAATTTCATAGGTATGCATTAATCTGTGCAATGTAAAGGCAGGCCGGTGCAGCCTCAGTGTGGCTGCGCAGTGAAAGAAAACTGGAAGAGGGGGGTCAGTTCTCAGTGACCACTGCCAAAGCTGATTGAGGCAGAGGCTGTAATTGCTGTGATTGTGAGGGCAGCCTTGGTATGACAAAGCGGTCACTGTAGCCATGGCTGTAGTTGGGCTGTTGCAGTTCTGACTGTGACACATCTGTTAATGAGAAGAACACTGACTGCACATGTGTGTGTGAAGTGATGAATGTGCTGTAATGGGGTTGGCGGTTTAACACATTTGTCACAGAAGCAAATAGTACAGCCGTACATATTCACAGCACCACAGAGTCAACCTTCAGATGCAGCTGTCTGAAGGCTGAGTGATAACTGTATCCAGCCACAGCTTCACCTATAAGAGCCAGACAGAGCAGCTGCAGCTGTGCTCACAGCCAGCAGCTGTATACAGTCATAAATTTGCCTTTAATATGAGGAACGAGAAAGAATTATGTAAAACAACCCATCATACTGAGCTCTCTTCTCTTTAGTAGCTACAGAGTGTTACCCTTAGCCGGATCTCTATTATAAGTGAACAACTAGGCAACTTTTTTTATGAATCATAAGGAATAAAAAAATAAAATCAAGGGCAAAAACACTGCATGGGATTTTTATTGACTTGTGTTCATGTCTGTGCATTCCAGCATTCATATGTCACTTTGCAGCCGATCACAGCTGAGACCAGCCTGTGCAGCTCACCTCTGCTTCTGCCGCGCTCTGATGGCTCATCACACAGCTCATTCCTCTGCAGTCCCTTGAGAACTATATGAAAGCATAAAGAAAAATTATGAAAGGCTAATGTCCACTTTAGAGGAAAATATAGTATAATATTTATAAACTCTCCACTCACTGCATATACTTCTTGCGGAGAGTGTAGACGCACTGATGTAGATGGTAATGCAACTTTAATGAACTCACATGGAAGGGGATACAGTATATACATATTAATGTGTGAAAGACATAGTGTTATATCAGCAAAGACACTTTTGAACTGCATATTTGAAATGTTTTCTGCTTGTTTGAGGTGTTCATCACACTCCTTCAGCACGGGTCCTCGGTCCCTACGCTCTTTGTCGTGTTTTATGTGAGAAGCATTGAAAGAAAGGATTTAACCAGCAGTTTTATGAGGCCTTTGGGTGTTTTAAATTTGTGTTTAGCTTTTGTAGTGCAAAATAATAACTTGGAAAAACATGATGGGTACAGTGAGAACTGAAGATGTCCTTTACTCTGTGTTGAAGTTAATTGAGTCTGCTCAGACCTTTTTCATGCAAATGAAACACGAGGGCCTTTGCATCACTGCTTCCTAAACACTTTTTCAGGCATGTCTGACAACATAAGGCAGAAAAGTTCATATCCTACCACCAAAGATAAAAAACAGAATCACAGTTCTGTTTTTTTAGTTAGTTAGCTCGACTCCATCAGAAATCTGTAGTTTTCCCCTGGCCGTGTACGCCACAGCTGCAGTGGCTCTATTCCCCACCAGTGGGGATCACATTTTGAGAACCAGTGACCCCGGTGCCACTGGCACTGTGAAGAAAAGGGCATGTTATTTGTTTAAAGAGATTGTGCATCACTTGAACTTGATCATTGTGAAAATGATTATGTAGAATTCTGTTATCTTGTGTGAGTCGTTTAAGCAGATAGTCTGCTCTCTGTTGATCTGATCTTTCTCACAGCTCAAAGCTAGTCAGACTTCATGCTGTCTGTGTGCTTGTTTTCCTTCTTTTTCCTCTTCCAGCTCAGTGTAATTATGAAAGGTTATCACTTTCTCAATTAGAGACACAAGCACAAGTTTGCACAAATATTAAGGTGACATTCGACAGTGTCTTTGTGGTTTTTACAGAACGAACGCGCCTATCTTTGCAAGGGTAATAGGATATTATAAGGTAAATCTCACTTCCTGTTTTGTGTCTTTTTTCTTTTTCCATTTTAATAGGAGAGGAAGCTTTGTGCATTCCCAACTATTGAGATCTACAGTTCGGATGTCATCAACTATATGGTTCCGCTGTCTCGTCAGACGGACTTCTTTGTACCAGAAATGAAAGAGGAGGTCAGAACAGATGTGAAGGAAGAGGACTCAGACGACGATAGAGGAACCGACATTACAGGTAAAGATTTTACACATCCTCGGATACTGTCAGCTCCCCCGGAGGCAATTAGTGACAGCATCAAAAAGATTTCTCAAACAAGAAGAAAGAGCTGTCAATTTGTCTGATTCAAAATTAAGGGACAGTTTTCAGAGCGGAACAACTTTAGTTTAGATTTTTTGTGTGATTTATTTATTTATCTTTTTTAAAATCTAGCCATCAAAGAATTGATGCTTTCGGTTTTCACCTGCTGTTCTCAATTACAAAATGTATATCAGTAAAGATTTTCAACTTTTAATGTGTCATTCATTGAGATCTGATATATGACTCAGGTGTTTTCTTAATTCGTTTGATGCGTACATTTTATAAGAAGTTTGTAGGAGAGCGTAAGAGAGTAGTAAGGTAACTAAACATAACTTAACCGATTCCTGTGGTTTAAAGTATCACCGGACTGCGCTGATGTGCAACTATATTCTGCTATTCTCAGATTATGTGACAATAGAGCAAACCTCACCATGTGGCCAGTGGTTTTAGCCACATTGAGGTGGTTAGCCTGATGAGTCAATGATGTGTGAAAGCAGCTTTAAAAAAAATCAGGGACAACCAAATGCCACGTGAAAAAGGAGCCATCATGTGGTTATACTGCTGTCGTCTAATTTCAGTCTTACCAAGCATTCATTTCTACTCTGTTGATCCTACAGCTTGTGTCAGTTAAAAACAAACAAAGAGAAAATGTGTAACAACTTTTATTTTGTCTGCCACTGCGCTGACTCCTCTCTCGCCCTCGATCACAGAGGACGGGTGATATCTGAGACTCTGTAATTGCTCTGTCATTACAAGTATGTGCCTTCAAGCGCGATGTCTTCCATGCTGCCATTACTCTTTGAATCACAGCTGACCTGTGGGCTGGTCTCAGAGCCGTATTGACTTAATCAGCGTACAAATCTCCGGAGAACAAAAATGGTGTTGCTCTGTGGGGACAGAGTGAGTGGGGATGGGTTGATTTAAATCAGGTGCCTTAAGAATAGATCATGTGACATCCCTTGTAAGCACAGCTTAAATTTCAGAGACGTATATGGAAGAAGGCCTAACATGTTCTGACCATGGTTAGTTGGCAGCCACCTTTAAAATAAAGCGTCATTACATGACAGAGGTGAAGACCACTCTCCATACACAGCAGCTTTATCCGCTGTGGAGACTCTCACATTCTGAGGGGCAAGAGCAAACTGAGAGTCGGAGCTATTCACAACTTTAAATGAGTTTGTCAGCATCACCAGACCGAGACAAAGTTTTGATTATTGCTTCCCTAACAAATGAGAAAGTAAATAAGAAAGAATTAAAGTGCAAGAAAGCATTTAAATACGTTAATTCAGATCAAATTAATTCGATCTGCCACGTGTCTTAATCACATGAGGAGAAAGTGATTTTGCAACGTTGCACACTCTTACTTTTTATGCATTCACTCAGTGGTCTCCAAATCTTTTGTTAATTCGTCGTGCCGCCGTGTCTGCGTTAATCCAGCAGACCATTGTGGCTGTGTGCTCGGTCTGGAGCCGTAGCCAAGAGTTAATTAGTTTGGCTTACCATGAAGACTAGAAGTAGGGAATAGACAGCTAGCCTTGCTCTTTCCAAAGATGTCCCCATCATAACTAATATTACTAATGAACATGTCTCCAAATAGAAATGTAAAAGTTTCCTTTTTTTAAGTAGAGATGACACAGCTATAATACAATGTCAATGAAAAGACACATCTACATGTGAATTTACTTAAAGATGTGTCTGTATAAAAATATTTTAGCCTAAGCTTAATAAAATCAAAGAGAGAGGCTGGAGCAAAATAAAAGATATTATGAGTCTCTGTTAGGCTCTAAGATCAGAAGACAAACAGACTCACTCCACACAGACGAGTGGTGTGTCCATTGTGCAAAGCTCAAAGCTAGCCAACAGCAAGGTGGTCAGTGCAATGGCTGTTTTTGGGTGAATAAACACAAAAGGGTAGATTTTAGGGAGAATTATTGCCTCTAACCGTTTCCTTATACAGTGACTTACTGGATTCTCCTCTGGCTGCCTGCAAACATTACATTATTGAAAACAAAAGCGTTTGTCGAAGTTTCAAACTATTCTTTTGTTGTAGTATTTCAACTGCTGTGGTACCAGTCTAACGATGATTTATCACATCAGTTAATACTGTTCACAAACTAAATCAAAGACAGTTCGATAAACATTGGTCTTACTAAGTGGTACAACAGAAGATTATGTATAAACATTTGTCACATTCACTTTAAACACTTTTTTTTGGAAAGATGTGATATTTCTTTTTATGCTCCACACTTAACACGCAGAGCCTTTTTAATCATTCAGAACAATGCTGACACTGCTAACAATGCTTAGCTACTGTGTGTAGTAGAAACGAAACGATAAGTGGAGTTTGCAGAGAGGTGGATTTTTTATTTATTTATTTTATTTTGAAGAGTTTCTTTTATCAGAGAGTTGTGTGTTCTGCTTTTTCATACTTGTGAAAATTGGCTTGGAAATCACTTTCTGTGGAAATATTTGTTGAATGCCTTTGAATACCGTTTCTTCCGTCAGAGAAATGTTTTTTTACCCACTTCTTGGCAGTTTTCCTTCTTGGCTGTGATCTGTGGTTTTGAATTAGCGTCCATAAATCGTCACTGTGAAAAACAGAATCTATCTTTATTAAATGTCCATTACTCAGAATGCCAAGACGTGCCCAGTGCTTAAAACATTTTAGAGCATCATTTGGATATCACAAAAGGCTATTTATAGGTAGATCATGAGGAATCTCCAACACTGAGGTCAAATCAGTTTTCTTTAGATAACAGATAAATGAAAAGTTCCCCAAATATTCTGAATGAGTGAGTATTTGCCTTTGATTAAAGAAGTCCTTTTTCTATTGGCAGGGTTGTAGTTAAGGTGGCAGAGTCAGAATTTTGTATCTGTAGTTCAGCATGCTCCTGGTGATGCAGTGCTATGGGGAGTATTTTCTTTTCACACTTTGAACCCTGCAGTACCAACTGAGAATCATTTAAACACCACAGCCTACCTGAGTATTGTTGCAGAGCATGTCCATTGCTTTATGACCACAGTGTACCCACCTTCTGATGGTTGCTTTCAGGATAACACGCCAAAGCTCATCTAACTGTAGTTAGATGACCTCAACAGTCACCACATCTCAGTCTAGTAGAGCACCTTTGGGATGTGGTTAAACAGGGGATTTGTCACATGCCAAAAAAGGGTTCAAACCAGTGCAACTCATGAAGTGGCTGGGGAGTGTGTCTTGAGTGGCAATTAGAGCAGACACACTATATGTAAGCCGATACCAATTTAATGGCGATTGACCATCTGTAATATATATAATATATGCGGCCCAGCTCTGCTCATTAATATATTTGACAACATTAACTGTACATCAGGGCTGTACACTGTTTACTTTTAAGAATGAAAAGACATTTTACTATGATATTACTGCACACTGAAGCAAACAACAAATACAACCAAGCAATCCAAATTAAGAAGTTTCATTAAACACAGTGTAAGTGTGTTTTTTATGATGAGCTTCCTTAAAATGCTTGTTCTCTTTGGCTCTCATCTGTAAATATGATGATCCATTAAGTGTATCACTTCTTAATGTATGTTTATGCATTCCTTTTCGCACTCTTCTCGCAATCCACTCTGCTTATCCAAGCACTAAGGAAGCCCTGTCTAATTACCTCCTTAAAAATCCTCTTCTCTTTTTCAAACAGTTTGAAGAACAAGACCTTGATTCTCTGCTAATAATCCCAATGGGCCCAATTTAACAACTAATTTAGGCAAATGTTACCTAAAAGACTTTCACAGGCTTCAACCACACTAGCAATTTCAGGACTTGCTTGCAGTTGTAGTGAAGGGTGAAAGTTGTCCAGTATGTTGAGGTTTTTCCTTGGGGGGCTGTCCACCCAATTACCCTAAATAGACCCATTATTTCCTGTAAAACCTTATATTGTAAAATGAATCTTTGGAACAATCTTTTCACTGCAACACACAAATGAAATAGACTATGGATCACTACATTAACCCGTTTATATGCATTTTGAAGCAGCACCACCGTGTCAAATAACCACTTTCTGTGCCACCCACATGTTCCCATCGGGTGTGTTTGGACATGCTAGCTAATCAACAGGCTCATAAATAGTTATTATAATGACCTAAATGGACTTCCATATGTAATATTTTACACTCCAGACAAGATCAGATCTGCTGGATGTGATAATTAGATTGTTGGGATTCAAATAAAAAGAAATGGTGAACCTCACAGAGCAGCTTGGAGACTCCCTGTTTATTGTGTTTGGGTCCCTGATGATAGATTTAGTGCAGACACACTTAGATGTGTGGATGAGATTCATTTGGAGTGTGAAGGCAGAAAGACAATGATGTGGATAAAAGTGTTTTAGTGTCTAATGGGATAGTCAAGTCAGATTCGGTTTTATTTGTCAAACACATTTCATTTTAAGGCTGTCCTTCTACTTTGCAGAAACAATTTAAGTCTGTGAAGGTTCTCAGTCATCCAGGTCATTGTAGTCTAAGGAGCTTGGAAAGAAAAGCATTTGGACATCTTTAAGTTGCTTGAAGACGTTTCATCTCTCATCTGAGAAGCTTCTTCGGTTCAGAACTGAGAAGCTTCTTCAGATGAGACGTCTTCAAGCAACTTAAAGAAGTCCAGACGCAAAAATAGACAAGCTTGAGAGTCAAACTTGGTGTGACCACCTATATTCTTTAAGACAGTCTGAACACCTTTAGGCAAGATTTCTTATCATTTCTTTAAGTAGTCTTCAGGAATAGCTCACCAGGCTCCAGGAGGACATTCAAAGCATTTCTTTGGATGTTGCCTGCATTTTATTCCGTTCTCTGTCAAGATGATCCCACACTGCTTCAATAATGTTGCGGTCTGAGCTCTGGGGAGGCCAATCCATGACTGCTAGTGTACCACTCTTTGCTTTTCTACCCAGGTCTGATTTTACTGTACTGATAGTGTGTTTGGGATCAATTAAATGCTGAAAAATGAAACCTTTTAAGATAGTATAACAATATGTTTGTAAGTCCACCAGTTTTAACTAGATCCCCAACACCACTGACTGAAATGCAGCTTAAGCCATGACAGAGTCTCCACTGTGTTCTACAGATGGCTGTAGAAACACACTGTTTTACCTCTCCACTTATCTGAACCAAAACAATTAGATTTGGATACATCACTCCATAAAACCTCGTGCCACTGATTGATTTTCAGTCGAATTCTTGTATAATTTGTCATACCTCAGCCTTTTCTCCCCGTATCCCTTCCTTAAGAATCCTCATCAGAATTTGAGAGGAGCTTCAGCGAGTAGCAGATGGATCAGCTGAATCTCTTCTGTCAGGTCTTTGCAGGATTTCTTCCTGTTTCGTAAGGACATTACTTTCAGGTGTTATTCATCTGCTGTAGGTTTTAAACCTGCTCTTTCTTCTTTTGCCCTCCAACTGTTTACTTTTCTCAACGTTTTAAAAGACACACTGCACACCATGCTGAAATATGCCAAGTTTTTTAGTTAAAAATTATTTGTGAATTACCTTGTTGGTGCAAAAGTCTAATTTTATACCTATCAAACAGATTTATCTTTGGAAATTTTGTTGATTCAACCAAAGAAATGAAATCAAATGAACTGTTTTTGTGACAAGCTGTTAGTTGCCTAACAATGTATTTTTTTTCCTTTTCTTTGCCAAGATGTCTGTTATGTGTAGACACAACAGTGGTTCATCCCTTTAGTTTGGTACTTTTATGGTTAATGATTCATAGATCAAGTGGGTTAACAAACAAAAAAGCATCCTCTTTGATACTGGTCAGGTACAAGGACTGAACTGAAAACAAGCGAACAAGCATCCAACGTCCAAAGAAAAACTTTCAAAGACCTTCAGAAAGCCTGGAGAACCTTTTCTCAACACCACTTTAAAATAATTAAAATGAAGTCTGGCTCCTTAGAAGGAAAATATAAAGAAATGAGGAGTGGCTCAAGACTTTTGCGCAGTAATGCGTATATGTATAAAATCAAACTTCAACACATTAATTCAGCATGTGATCACAGCTTTATACAGGGAGCCTTTTTAAAAGTTATCGTCACATGGGCTTTTCCTCCACTTCTTTGAAGTATCTTCGAGAAGACCAACTGCGGAAAGATCACTGAGTAATATTTCTTCTGTAGGTGGGAGGTGTGATGTTCTTCTCACATTTCTTGCCCTAATGCCAGTTTTCATTTGTAATTTTAGGGAGGCTAAGCAGAAAAAGCTTTATATCTTTCATGTGTCTCTGCTTACATCTTTGGCCCATGCAGAGTATTTTTCTTTCCGTGAACCTTGAACATGTTGTATTTAAACCTTCCTGTAAGTTTTAGTTTTTAAATTTCTCCTAAATAATGCTGATTTTTTTTTTGGTCCACCTACACAGTACAGCAATAACCTTCCAAATCGCTCGCACAAAAACTCCTATGAATAACATTCATCAGGGACAATAAGTGGTTATTGGGTCACAGTGAATCATAGATCAAAGGGCAATTAGAATCAGGTTTAGACAGAGAGCATTAGTAAGCTGATCATGTGGGTGAGAAAATCTCCATCAATCAGGTTAATGGACATTCTTTGTGATTACAGATATGCAATATGCACAGCAAGAATATCCCTCTCTGCAAATTATAGTCCATTACACAATTTCATGCAAGTAATGCCAACATGTAAATGACTGGTCTGTGACTTTTGTATAAATAATGTCTCTCAATAATATTTTGGTCCCTCTGAGCTCATCTGATTAGTTAAAGTTGACTGAGCTACATCTGCTGAATTTTAAGCGGTGAGCACTTTTAGGTTTCATGAAGCCAACGTTACATTTATAATCTGTGATCAAAGGATGGAGGAGTATGTAAGTGCATATACCCATATCTTCACATCCTTGCATCATTTTTCATGAGCTTCAATACTAAGCATATTGTTAATGTTAATTACCCAACCAACATTGAGAAGATGATGCTTTTTAACCATATTCGCAGTGTTGCCATGGATCATAAAGTCACGAGATATGACAGCCGATTGTGAAGTATACATGCAGTAACTACTATTTTCCGTAGCTGTTCCCATTGTTTCTTTCTTGCGTGCTTTGTGTAAGTAATAGTCTCTGCCTTGCCACCATTATTTGAATATCTGCAGCAATGTCCCGGAGGATGAATCCTAATGACTTTGTTCAGCCACTGAAGTTTTCACATCGCTACAGAGTATCAGAACACCACCTTGCTGAATTAGCAAAATATTTAGTACAGACTTCCTCTGTTCACCTGTAAAATCAATCTTTCAGTTTTAGTCTACATGAGCTTTCCTGCCTTTCCTCCAATGATTTTATTTTGTTAATTAGTTGTGCATGACCCATTTTCTCACAGCCAATTTGATCAATTTCTTCTGTTTTTTTTTTTTGTTTTGTTTTTTTGCATTGATGCAGGTGCAGATTCCCACAGTGATGTGAGCTCAGTAAGCGGTGGCGTGCCCTGGGACAGCAGAGAGACGTCCCTGGCTGTTTCCACAGCCGCTTCCATGGCTTCCTCACTGCCCCTGAGAGACGTTTTAGATGCCAGCGAAGACCTTAAATACAGGGACCATAGCGACAGAGGCTCTAATGACTCAGTGGGCAGTGGCTCCTCCTTTGAAGAGCTTGACATGGATCAGGAGGAGCTGGGGGAAGGTGAAGAGAGGGTGAAGAAGGAATATCGGGAAGAGGAGGACACTCCTGAAGGTGAAGGCGGAGCTAGAGAAGGAGCTGAACTTGCGGCTGAGAAGAAAGAGCGCTTAGGGGAAGGAGAGGAGTAGGGAGGATGCTGAGGAGATAAGGGATGTAGCCACGTAACACTGGCATGCTGGAGAGCTTCTCAGCTGTGCTGTTGCTGGTTATCTGTCATGTAATCTTGTTGGTGGATCTAAAGCCGTTAATGTAATGACCAACATGCCGTATTTCCGCGCCTTCTAAATCTCTTTTTGAAGCCTGTACTTTCTGTTATACTCTAATCTCAGTTCAAAAGAAAAAAGAAAAAAAAATCTGTATCTCTGCCTATACAAACATACACACAACAAATGGGAGATTTAATTAGATATTTCATTTTAATTGTAATCCTGTTTGGATCACTTTAATTCCCTTTCAGATTAGAAGTAACCTTTCAGTTTAAGATTAAGGATTAAAAGCAAAGGGGAAACAGAGTTACCAACTATCATGGATCATCAGAAAGTATATGTTGTTTTGCTCATATGTGACAGGTGATATTGCAACCCCACTCTCAAGGTCAAGTCCTGAGGAAATTTGTGTCACGCGTTTGTGCGCATTACCCGACTTTGGTGTTGTGATGTAACGACTGGGTGAAAACGTGCAGGCGTTGCCGCAGCTGTAGAGATGTTCATGGTGCTGTTTCATTGTGTTATTTTATACGAGGGGAAATTCTAAAAGCTGAGGTGGAGAAAAAGATTATTAAAGTAACATCATCAATGCCTCCGGGTCACCAGGACTAAGATTTAGATTAAAGTTCAAACATATTTGTAAGCTTTCCCCCTGAAAGGTGTACAGAATATTTTATTGTCACTCTGCAAAAAAAGGTTAATTGAATTATTTTAACGTATTGTTCATTTTCTGTGGGCAGTTTGTTCTGCCACATTTCATTTACATTTATGTTGTTGTAAACAAAATTCACCTATTATCTGAAACTAGATGTAACATGTTTGTAGGTTGACGTCGGATATGATGTACGATGCATTGTATGTCTTCCTGTGTGTAATAAAATTTTCAAAGAAATGTTAGTTTGAGAAGAACAGCAAAAATGGTCTCCGCTCTGCTGCTTTTATCCATATTTTTTTGGGCGTTTCCCAACAGGGATGCAGGAAGGTAACAAAGTGTGTGTGGCAGTCAAAGCTTTCTCTGAAGTTTCACGACTTTACGATGTAACGATTGCTTTGTGGGGCTTACATGTGAATTCATAAGCTGCATAAAAGAGAAATGGTACAAAATAGCCCATAACATCAGTTTTTCAGTGCCGGGTGAGTTAAACAATGCACTGCTTTAAGGGTTTTTTTTTTAAGTGAGCAATTTCCCCAGCACCCTTAGGACTGGGAAACTGTTTAATCAGAATGCATAAGATAATACAAATGTAGATACATTTGGAAAGCATAAACACTTAAGATTAGTCTCACAAAATGTTGTTTATCCAAATGCCGGCGCTGCATCGATCGGGTCAACATTTGACTGAGTGGTTTGGCATTTGTTCTACAATTTATTTAATCAGCTGTGTGCACAAAACAACAGGAAGAATAGGCTCCAGCTGACTACTGAAGTTTGATGGACATACTTGTTCTTTAGCCTGCGGTTCTTAATGAGCATCATGACCTATAAGTGTTAATGTTTTGTTTCCAATCCAGCGCCATTGTAACCATGGTAATTTTACTGAGTAATACGCCATTAACCAGAGCGAGAGAGAGAGAAAAGCCTTTCATGCGCCCGGTCGTGCTGTTAGTGTTGAGGATATTGACTTAATTGAATAAAGAAAAATGTATTTAGGGCTTGTTAGGAATGCAAGCCAAATTAGATGTGTAGACACCAAAGTCCACTGAAGAAGGATTTCACAGCTACACTCTTCTTTGCATTTGACTTGCAGTTGGAGTATTTGGACAGTGATACGTATTTTGGGAGCAGGTGGAAGAGGCTATGGAAAGGTGGAGGTATGCTCTGGAGAGAAGAATAAAAGCCAGTAGAAGCAAGATGAGATGGTTTGCCAGCAGGAGGAAGAGAAGTGAAGGAGGACGTGCATGGACGTACACTTCAAAGAGTTTTACAAAGTATTATTTAGGAATTACAGCCATTTTTGTACATAACCTCTATATTCGCATGTTCAAAAGTAACTGTACAGTTGTCTGACAAGCATTTTCATGGCCAGGCGAGGTCTGTTTCCACAGTATTTCACAACAAATTAAGCAGATAAAAGATCTAGAGTTGCTTCCATGTGTTGATCTTAAACTGTTAACCCTTCTGGTACACTAACCTGGCAATGAAACTGTTTGTCATTCAATCTTTAAGTGACTTCTGAGCCTCTGAAAATAGAGGATTATTTATAAAAATGGCTGCAAATCCTAAATAATACTTTTGTTAAACCCAATGAATTACAACTCAGTCTGCACGTCAGTCACATGATTACCACAGTAACACAGCAGAGTATGTGCTAGCAGCAATACTTCAATAGCATATTTGCCGTTTCAAAAATGTTCCACATGCTTTGACGTCACCATAGCAGACAGAAAGAGACTTGAGACATTTCAAATGGGTACACATGGGTACCCTGATGTACCAAAATAGCCAGTTCTTCTAAAAACTCTGCTTCACATTTGGCATATCTAATGTTCAGATGCGATTTGGCTTTTTAGAGATATGGAGCTCCACAATGGTGTTAGGCAGAAATGAAATCTTTTATTTAAGCTGCCTTCCATGTTTATTGGACCCTTAACATCTATACTGATACTCTGCAAAAATCTCATAAGTGCTAACTTTATTATGACATCAGTGTTATTTCTAAACCCTGTTGTTGCAGAAATGTACTGTGTTCATTTTTAACAGATCTTTAAATAATAAAAAGTGACTCTAAGAATGCGCAACAGCTAATCTATTACAGTTATTCTATTACAAATGTTATCCCCAAAATGTAATATTGGTCTGGCTCCTTAAACTCTCAGGAAATCCTAATAAATGAACAGTAGATGATGGCAGAAGATGAAGATGTGACACCTGAGTGTTACTGAACAACCACCATCAACACACCGCTGATCTTTTGGTCTGATACAGTGATTCCCACAAATCAAGCACGCAATCTAACCAAGGGCCACTTTTGTTGGAGGGTTCATTATAACCGTGTTTTTTCCTTCACTTTGTCCTCGATTGCCTTGCAAGTCTCAAGCAGAAATATAACCTTATCTATTGACCAGAAAACGCACAAACCACGCCAGCCTTTAGTAATATTATCTTTTTCTGACGAGAAAAAAAAAATGAGATCGGTGTCTTGTGCGTGACCAGTCTGCGGGGACAGATGCCCTCACCACATGTGTGTTGCACTTTCAGGATCAACTCTGGCACCCCAGCCGTGGTCCAAAGGCAAAAATAAAAATCGGTGAGGAAAAGAGTGCGATGACACACTGGGTCAACAACTGATTTAATTAATTGTGAAACCCACATGGGTGTCACACAGCGTTCGAGGGCGCGGAGATTATTGCCTGTCCATGAAGTTAATTATTAATCTCATTACACTGAAAGAGAGAAAGAGAGAGACGATGTGAAGTCTCAACATACAAATTTAGAAGCCCACGACTGCGTGTGCGAAGCTGCTTTTGACAGGAAGGAGGGGGGGGTCCCAGCACATCCCCTCTCCAAGCGCACGTCCCTTGAAACGCATCGGCCTGCCATCTGGGACTGACCTCACACTCATCTCGCGCCGTGTCACAACTTGTTTGCCGATCCTAAATTAAAATGATCACATCTGGAGATAATCACCCCCCCCGCACATTTGAACTAAACAACGGGCGATTCTTTAAAGCTTCTCTCCACTGACATCCACAGTCCGTCAGTTCGCGTCTGCAGGAAGCCACGCAGTCGGTTCATTGGGCTCTAAATGACATAATTTGGCACAGAGTTGCGACGAGGCAGACTGCTATATCCAGGACTGCTCCTGCGTGGAGCAACTGCGTCTTTGTTCAAGTGCGAAAAACCTTCTGAGAGTTCTCCCAGGTTGCTGTGGTCATATCCGCAGCGAGCGCGTTCATCAGCTGATGTAAAAAAACAACAAAAACAACAACATATATATATATACACATATGTGTCTTGTTGCCAGCTATGGGGGATTTTGCCAGTCGAGTAACAGGTAGAATTTAAACTTTGTGTCGGTTCTCAGGGCGCCAAGTCGATAAACTGGCATCCCACCAGGATAAACAACACCTTTAATGCACACCGTCTTATTACTCTCTCTCACACTTGACGCTCAAACAGAGAGAGAACCCTCTCTCGCTCAACGCAGTGATGTGGGCTTCACTTGCATTTATTTCAAGCGCGTTTAGGAGCTGTGACTTTTGAACCGCTGTTTGCAGGAATCGCTCCTCCAGGAATCCGGCGACTCTTTGTGCTGTGTGTGTGTGTGGCGTTATTATTATTATTTTCAGCACCACGGACAGCTGCCTGGCACGCGGCTCAAACTTCAGGCAGCTACGCTCACCTCCTTCATCCACCCTGCTCCCCAGCTCCTCTGTAGTTCGCAAACACACTTGCTTTAGGCTTTAAAAAGAAAAACTCCAACAGTGGCGCGAAGGATATGCGTTTAGTCTGCACCGAGGATCCACTGCACGGTAGCGCTGGAAACTGAGGAACCGTTGGCAGGTAAGAAAATGTGTTTCTTTTTCCCCCCTTTCTTATTTTCTGGGATTTTTTTGTGCGTTGAAAGCCTCCAAAGTGCATTTTTCTGAAGTTAAACGAGTTGTTTTGTAAGGAAGGCGCTTAAGTCGCGTTTTGACTTTGTATGGTTGACAAAATTATTCTTATGATGCTGACAAGACTGTGGTTTTACACCCTTTAATGCAGCAGGCTACACATGTGGATAGGCATTCATTTCTGGAGATATTATCTCGATGCTTATCATCATTTTGACCTGATTTTTGTTTGCATCTCTGGCTCCGGGCATAACCATAAGCAGTAAAAGAATGATAAATGAGCGAGGCTGCTGAAAAAACTACTAAACAGGCGATGCAGTAACTACTACACGGCAACATCCACCATCTCCCTCACAGGGTTGATCTCCCGTGTGACTTCAAAGTGAGACAAAAACTTGATTGACATTAGTTACATGTAAGAAGAATATGATCTGCACAAAGGAGCTGTTTCTTTTGTTTCCAGGCAAAGGCTTTTACTTGACTCTGGCTCTCTTCCACGGGAAAATGGATTGCTATCTCAAATGTTTCACTTTGGAACTAAATTGGGCATTTTCATATTAATTCTTCAGCAGCCGAGACTTGTGATGCCCTGTGTGTGTCTAGAAATGGGGTGTCTGTGT